AGAGAGATTAATTCACTAAAATGCTTTGCATTATTTCAGTTTATGTAAAAGCGCATTGTTGGGCGGACGACCAGCTCTCGGGGAGAACTACCTTATCAGGTAAGCTTTAATCGTTTAATTATCGTTATTTAAGAAAAGACAATTTTGATCCAAATGGGCCTGGCATGACAAAAAACAAGACAGGCTGTTCCGAGATAATCGGTTATACTCCTGTTTTCCAGCTGTTGTTGTTTATCGCCTTAATTAATTACGCGAATGCGTGAATTCGACTATAGGCCACGTACTAGGTGTGACCGAACGATCAATAATAATGACCTTGTTTTAAAAATTCGAACGTCAAAGTGGCAATGCAGATGGCAAGCTGGTTTTGTGAACAAACAAATAAACATAACCTACAATTAGAATTTTAGTAACTACCGAAAGATACTGCCGTCCTGCTGATCGTCGATTAAACTTACCTTAAAATAAGTTTTATTTAAATATGTAGTCACTTAATAGTTTCAATATTTTATAAGTTTATTTTTCCCCCCCGTTCTTTTGAAATGTGTTAACCCAAATTTCAAACTTTAATGTAAAAAATTCACCCCCCGGTTGGTTGTCCTTAACAAGGCTTGATAATTTATTCGTCTTGAAACTTAGGACCAAGCCTTTCCGTTTATAAACCTCACCCTTCAGGGTTTTTCACTTGGCTTTCGCCAGTTTATAATAAAAAAACACATGTTCGTCTTATCCGTCTTCAACGTTGCTATTTACCGTTTTCCTGGTTAACTTTCACAATCGCCTGATGATAGAGCAGTAGCCGAAAACTATAGTCGCTGTTATTTTTAAAAACTTCAACGAATAAAACTATATGGGGAGGTTTAGAGATATCTTTGATAACATAATATATTTCAACCCCCTTTCGAAGGAAGAATGGATCAATCTCAAAAAAAAAAAATAGTATGACACATTTAAAAAGATATCTGGGGTTGTAAGTAATTCAATGATAAGGCGATGTTCTGTATCTTACAATTTTTTTATGTTTCCTAAAATTATGGTTTGGTCTGTTTGGATTGTATTCACCGAAACGAAAGCGCTTCGTTTGGAAG